GTTCTCATGATGCCCAACCTGATTGTGATGAGTGAGATACTTCGTGATGATCCTCCAGCCCAGCATGACACCCCCAATTTTCTGTAAACAATGGTTGATCCTAAAATCGGTTCCTCATCAGCTGATTACAACGTAAAACCATTTAAGTCCCATATTAAAAAGGAAACAGAATATGTTTACCTGCATCTGAAGTGGCAGTTACATTTGGAGGGAAGATAGAAGAGCATGGCATAGATAACTTCAACATACACAAAAAACCCTACATCTCAAAATAAATCCAACATTAACAATCACGAGGAACACGCCGCAGCGATGATAAGACAGAAACTACACGTCTGCATTCAAAAAAACCAGTAAAACATCATTCCTGCCCCCTGTAACGTAACACGCATCTTAATGCAAAACAAATTTGCTACTGCAGCGCATTTCAATTCGCCATATTTCCCCCGCTCCATCACATCCAATCTTATCTACCAACTGACGACATCCACAAACCTTGTTACTTCCATTATCCCATCGTTCATGCCACCGAATTGATCGGTCACCATTGTATGTGAGTTCCTGTGCCGATCTCTCAACATCCCCTGTCTTAAAATTTCAGTATTATTCATGGATAGTACCTAGCAGTGGAATCCAGATCGACGCGCCGATTGTCCAATTTGCCACTCGTCAAGCTCGATGTATCTCCCTCCCTCCCTCCCTCCCTCCCAGCGAACGATGTTGCTACCACTAAGACTCTCTTCTCATCTGCACACCAACCAGTATGTCCATAGAGACCGATCAATTCGGTACAATCAACCACGGAATAATAGATGTAACAATACTAAAACTATACACATCACACAAGAAATGCCTATCGTAACTCAGTGGTGTAGTGGATAACGATCTGGCGTTTCAAGTCATCGCTCCCACGCTCACGTCTTAGTGACAAGAACATCACTAACTGTGAACCGGCAGGTGAATCCGGTTGACCAGTCACACTCAAATGAGACCAAACACGCATCCTCCATTCCACTCCTCCCCACTATCCAACATTAACATCACATTAACGAACCTTGAAAATTATTTTCACCAACTCATCTGAATACACACAATTCGGTCACAGCTTCATTGTGAAACTAACACATCATCACTTTACTCATCAGGAAACGCCTAACTCATTTGTTACATTCTACGTCCACTAGCACTTCCTACATAAATTCTCGAGTGAGTAGTTAGTAAAACACAAATATTCTTGCTAGATTTACTTTTACCTACTACATAACCACATCACATATGAACCTAGAAACTCATGCGCAACTGTATCAGTACAACTTGTTACATAATACACCAGAATGCTTAAACATGTTAGGAAAAAAGACAAAAATATTGAAGTAAGTAAACGTATAATCATCATCCATTACTAGCCATAGCACAACGATTCTCCCGATCACCGATTGTTATCATATTCAAGACCCTACTCAGACTGACTATACACTCTTCCTAAATTACAATCAAATCAACAATCAACCACTTCGTGGATTACAGCCACAACTGAACTCCGGACACCTTCAACCTAATTCTACTTCAGTTTACATTCACCTCCGGCTTATCTGTAGGCAGCCAGGCCCCATAGCTCAGTTAGTAGAGAGCACTGGAACTGCAGCGGCCCACATTTTCATCCCACCTTCATCATCATCATCACCCAGAAAAGAATGATCTACTCTCATTCACAAAACCAGTAAGTCTGGTTAAGTACAGAAGAACACATGGAGCAATTGACTCGGAAGATGAATAAGAACATGATTATTCATGCGTCTAGGTATAATAGCTACTCGATGGAATCCCCAAACTTCATTAAGTTACACAGAAGATGACAGCACTGTCCATCACTTATATAACTTCATATAACCTTCAGATTCCGCCCTTACATACTCCCCCAATTCCTCGTGAAGTCCAAAAGGCACTCAAGCAACACAAGGTGCATTGCAACGTCAAATATATATATATATATATATATATATATATATATATATTGGCCATATCAAAATTCTAATGGGCGACATGAATGCCAAACTGGGAGCACACAACACAGGAAGAGAAGTAACCATGGGTCGAGAAGCGCTCGGCGAAATGAACGAGAATGCACAACTGTTTGCAGATTTGTGTGCATTCAACGATTTGGTGATTGGAGGCGAGGCACTGTGTTCAAGCACAAGGATATCCATAAAGCCACATGGATTTCACAAGACACCAGGACACACTAAAAATCAGATCGACTTCATCTCAATCTCAAGAAAGTGGAGACGCAGTCTACTTGACACAAGGTCAAGAAGAGGAGCAGATGTAGGTTCACACCACTCACTATCTAGTGCAAGAAATCTACCTTCAAAATCAAGTTGAAAGCCTTGAAAGAAGCTGGTGATATCAGAACACAGTTCAAGTTCAACACCCAAAAACTGAAGGATGAAACTACAAAGCACATCTTCACGTCAGCCATCAAGACAAAATGGGAGACATCGAGCAACATCCCTGAAGAAACCTGTGTGGAAGAACACTGGAACTCTTTGAAAGCCATGTGGAAAGAAACCTACACAACCGTATTAGGAAGGAAGAAGAGGCAAGTTAAGGAATGGATCTCAATGGATACATGGAAGCTGATAGAGCAGTGAGAGGAGGATGGTGAAGCAGAAGATAAACCAGTGCAAGGATGCTCAACGACAAGAGGAAATGAGTACAATGTATAAAACACTGGACAAACAAGTGAACAAAAGTGCACACAAAGACAAAAGACACTTCTACGAAACACTGGCAAGTGAAGCAGAACAGGCTGCAGGTTGTTAGGAGAGACCTGACAACATTGTATCAAATAACCAGGTTGCTATCTGGCAAGAGATCAACGCAGACGAAACCAATAAAAGATGATGACGGAAATCTAATCACGAAAAAAAGAGAAACAAAGAAAACAATGGGCCGACCACTTCAAGAAGCTCTTAAATCGACCACCACCTGCACTTCGTCCAGAAATACCATCTACAGCCCAGGCACAGAACAACAAGTGAACATAAATCCTCCAACAAAAATGGAAGTCCTGAACGCCATAAAGCTACTGAAGTGTGGGAAAGAAGCATCAGGACCAGATGGGATCCCACCAGAAGCACTGAAAACAGACGCGGAGACAACAGCAGATATGCTCACACCACACCACTATTCCATAAGGTGTGGAAGGAAGGGAAGGTACTTGCCCACTGATTGGAAGAAGGGTTACCTCGTCAAACTCCCAAAGAAGGGAGACCTCAGTGCATGCAAGAACTGGCGCAGAATCACTCTCCTGTCCACCCCAAGCAAAATATTAAGCTGCACCATCCAGGAGAGACTACACGGTGCGCTGGATTCAAAACTACGACCCGAACAGACAGGCTTCAGGAAGTACAAATCATATACGGACCAAATTGCAACCCTCCTAACGCATCATCATAGAACAGACTACAGAGTGGCAGTCAACTCTACACCTCAACTTCATCCACTTTGAAAAGGCCTTTGACAGCGTCGACCGAGAGGTAATTTGGAAACTGCTTCAATACTACGGAATACCACAAAACTTTATCAGCCTCATTCAACAGCTATATAAAGACGCCACATGCCAGCCAAGTAATTCACAATGGGAAGCTCAGCTCAGTGATGCTTTTGAAGTGAAGTGAAGACAGGAGTGAAACAAGGTTGCCTACTATCTCCCATGACATACCTGATAGTGGTCGACTGGATTATGCAGCAAACAGTGGGGAGCGAGAAGAGGGGAATACGCTGCTTGGTCAGGGAAAAAAACCTAGAAGACTTGGATTTCGCCAGTGATGAATTGTGTCTGATGTCACACAAACTTGATGACCTACAGGTGAAAACTAACAAGTTGTCAGAAGAGGCGAGGCAGCGAAGACGGGACTTCAAGTGAATATAGAGAAGACAGAAGTGACGAAGATACCGCATCAACAACAACAACAACAAACTCCAATCACCATCAACGTGAGAAACTTAAAGGAAGTAACCTCCTTCACCTATCTAGGAAGCACTGTTTCAACTACAGGCGGCACAGGCAGAGACGAGGATGTCAAAGTCAGAATCGGAAAACCAAGACAGGCGTTCATTACCCTGAAACCAGTGTGCAGATCTTCTGCACTCAGCATGTGGAACAAGATCCGGATTTTCAACACCAACGTCAAGTCAGTGCTTCTGCATGGCTCAGAGACTTGGCGCGTTACGAAAGGCATTTCCAATAAACTACAGACATTCGTCAACAGCTGCTGCCTACGCTCACTCCTTACTGAAGATCAGATGGCCAGGAAGAATAAGCAACAAGAAACTCACTCTGGCTGGTCACGAACCAACCAAGAACCTATCACTCAACAAATATGCACTGGAAGGAAGTGGAGATGGATTGGAGTGGGCATACACTGAGAAGGCCGACTGGGGACATCACGCGTCAGGCCAGTTGCTCGAGTGGAACCCCCATGGGAAGCGACGAGTTGGGCGTCCGAGGTCACGGTGACATGGAGGAGATCGTGCGACGAGGAAATCAGAGCTTGTGGGCTGTCGTGGAGCCAGGTTCAAAAGATTTCAGAGAACAGAGTTCACTGGAAACGTGCTACTGAAGCCCTATGTTCCATCAGGAACCCAAGGGACTAATAATAGATAATAATAAAATCATATACTTCACATGCCTCTCCAAACTTCAGTACAACACGATTCATTGTCAATGGCTTCAGGGATTTAGGACTTTTCATACAGATCATGGCAATATTACTCCAAACTATAACATTAAGCTTACACAATAAAGATAACAAATAGGTAACTCAATCAGCGCCACAGCTTTCAGTCAGCTATCAGTCACATGTACTGTGCGACGGTTGTGGTCAAGTCGAAATAGCTTCAGTGAGGTCCCAGTTCCCAACGTACTGTACAGAAGTCGAGTGCTTCAGCCAAAACACATCGTTAACAAACAAAAGTACAAATCATATCAAACTTACATTCGATCTAATACAACAGATAGACGTCGCTGGTCTATATCATCTATACCATTGTTTCTCCTATTTTCATTATCTCCAACGAGATTCAACACGATATTTTGCTCTATGTCTTTAACAACTCCATGTTTTGTAGTTCTTCTTGTCATATCAATATCGACTTTTTCGACTTCTACACCAAACTTCCTCACTGGCTCTTCTTCTTCTTCTGCTTGTTGTTGTTGTTGTCGTCCTCGCTGCTGTTCCTTTTGTTTCAGACGTAAATCGTTCAAAGTCGGTGGAAGTACAGACAAATTAGCTGTCTGATTCATTGATAGGTCAAAAACACTCTACAATAGTAAAGGTAAACCATGAATCATAAAGTCAACAGGCGAACTCATAAATCTCAACGAAATTCACATAAGAAGCAACGATAACGTAGTGAGCAATATAGCAAAACTGAAATCTCCATTCAAGTAGAATATCAACACATAAGAATATCTGACTCATAGTGAGAATGAGACTTGCAAAATCTAAGTAACTACACCAAGAATCCTGAGGCAATAAGCCCTGCTAGAATTCTAATTCTCATCTCTTAAGGATCCCTTCATACTATATTCGCCTATTGTTTTCAATCCAATTGCTAATGACGAACAACAGATGTGTTTCATCGCCTTCAGGACTCGTCCACTAAATGTACCAAGATTTCGACAACTCTTAGTAGTTCTTCACTTACAGTACGCAGGCAACGTCATCCTCTTTGCTGACGACACTGACAAGATGCAGAGTCTTCTCGACACAACAGGAATCTACGTTGACCACTTCACCTACACACAACAAGTCGGATCACCTCCGGTGTGTCACTGATCGGCCAAATCTCTACACAGATATAAAAACGCTTCATTCACTTACACCAACTGACGCCATTTTCCTCACCATCGTGATAACCGATCCCTCATCAGGATCAATAGTAATCTGCAACAGTTAGCACTGCTCAGCTATGTAGCTATGAAACATCTTCGTTGAAGTTAGAGGACATCAAAAGGCTTCAGGTGTTGCCTCCGTACTGTAGGTCGTGTGTCACTATGTCAGTAACGTAGAAATCACGTATAGAGTTTTGGGGAGTAAAGAGCAAAGTCACTTGATGATGCTGTAGACTTCCAAAGACTCACGTGATTGGGACATCCTATTACACATGCCCAATCTCCCCCTCCCCCTCCCCACTGCCGCACCATACAATGTTGCCTGAAGTATGTTCAGGCTAAAAAAAGTATGGGGCGACCACACTAAAACATAGCATCAATCCACGAGGTTTCTGACTGTTGATCTGAGTCGTGTAGGGAAATGTAGACTTCCAGGTTGAAGTTCCTATTACAACAGAAATCAGTGGGTTAGAGACTCTTTATTACTTCTCTACTTTTCACGCTCGTGTCTTCCGCCTTCATGAGGTGTAGCAGCTTGGACGACTATGCAGTAAAACCAGGCCCTACCTTCATCCCCTGATTCCCTAGCTGACTAAATATTTCCGGATAACTTCAAATCCACCATTTACTGTTTCAAACGCCATAGCATTCATCCATTGGCCTTCTGAATTACAAAACCCACATCTTGTTCAACTATCATAAACTGTCACTAGACCTCGTCATTCCTCACGCGACTACAAGAAAACTTAATCAAGAACTCGTAGACACTCTAACATAGTCGAAAGTGGATACACTCTCCTCTCCTCTCATATCATATCATATCATTAATCCTACAAAGTGGTTTTCACCTACCTGTCAACATTATTCCCAAAAAATCAAACGGGTTAAAGTAAGTTTCTAGGTACCAGGGTTCAGAAACTCTAGCTCCCAGCCAATGGTGCATATGCATTTCAAAATCCACAAATATCACATCTTCTATGAAACTACTTCGGTTACTAGAAATCAACACAATCCAGTCCACAACATCACTCTCATCATCAAACTTCAATTGACAAGCTCACAAAATGATTCTCTAGAGTAGCCAGGTGGTTCGACTCAACGATTCGACCAGCAGTTCAGCTCCCAAGTGACCTACTGCTGAACAGACTTCAAAACACACTCCGAAATCTCTCTCTCTCTCACACACACACACACACACACCACCACCACCAATCAAATCAACAACGTCTCAGTCAATGTGTGTGTACGATACACAGCTTGGTATCCATACTTCAGTACTAAGCTTTTGTTTCCAATAGACACCTCAACACAGTGAATTTAAGTGCAACTCAACAAATACATGCAGATTCATCAACTACACAATAAGTCACACCTATTGTGTGAGGGGTAAAGAGGATACCTGGCTATTCGAATATCAGTGGGTGCGGCGAGGTTCGAAATCCTCATCCAATGGTTGAACATCAAGAGTCTACACCGATGACACACAGTTCAAACTAGGATGCTTTTGAACACACAAAACGACTTTAGCTTTTTGAATGGCTAGCACCTTCACAGACAGTTTCTGTACCAAATTGTTAACCCTGTTTAAATATCAAACCTGTGATCTTCATCAATAATGTGATGGTTGCCTGCCACCTGCCCCTATCACCTTTTGTGAACCCAGCTGCTTTCGTAACCAGTTCGGTACATGCTTCTCCACTCTCAAATGCATATCTCCACTACTCATCCTTATATATGTGCGTCGATATATGTAAATTGATAAACCCTGTGGGATGTGGTCCAATCCTCTATACACTGTTCAGGTTTGTCTTACAACATCTGTTCGCTCCCCTCTCAACTACGATACCTCTAACTGCACAGCATGTTTTCTTAGACTTTATTGCACAATAGAACTCTGAGATCCCCCAACACCACCACCTGTAAGGCACAGTGACACAAACCCACCTCCTAGATACAAAACACAACAATGACTGACTTCTGTAGCGATTTATGAAATTCAATGGACATCTGTTTACCAGTAGTGTGTTTCAGTCAGTACTTTCATGTCCTTCCCTATCCACTACGACCTCCGTTCACATACCCTGAACCCTTTCCAACAGGCATATTATCCAAGTACGTTTCGCGTATATCAGCCGTTTTATTAAACCCTTAGGAGTAAATATCCAACAACGACAGGCGGCTAAGTCTCTCCACTAAATATGTCACATATCACAATTACACCACCAACATATCCATTGAGAAAGGTTAACTTTACGAATGAGATTACCAGCCAAGCCTTCAATAAATTACATGTAAATATCAGCTACCAATCGTCCATATTCACGCCATCCATTTGTTGAAAACATTCCCCCTTCAAATCTAGCTCTTTCCAACACATTCAAGGGATAGGGAAAGAGAAAGTACTAAAAGATATTTCGTCATATAGAATTCCAACTCTCTCAATCAACAGAATGACTGACCATCACATCATCATCCATTACAAAACACGATTAGTATTGAAACAGCCTTTACAATATTACATATTACATAAAAGCATTCGAAAAAATCGACTTAAAAAACCTTGCCAAACATACATTACTCACACTGAAAGTGTTACCCACTGTCTAAAACCATCCAAAAACACAAAATGCCATTTACTACACCTTAGGATTATTCAACCTGGTTGATCATACCTAGTAAGAGCCTATCCATAGGATAACACGCATCATTACACTAATTCCTAATCGTTTTCCTACTCCATCTATCTCACGCTTACAACTCTACTTTTTTATACCTAAAGCCTTGTGCTACTTACCAACAATTATAAGTAGTGAGATTCATCTCCAAAAATGTCATCTCATCCACCGAACTGTGATCATTCATTTCGTCACTTAGAACCTTACCAACTTTTCCAGTTCTTCATTGTGATGGCCACCCACCAGTTCCTTCCCCCCTCCCCCGATGCTACATTCTACCTTTAACATCTCTTCCCCTCATTTCGCCCGCCTTAACGTGGAACTTTGCGCGCTTCTCATCTTTTCCTCTGGACACAACTCATGTTCATATTGTTCACGTACTTCCTGCAAGGTCGCTTCAGACGGTGAGTAGCACACAGACACCTCATGATTCACACTTTGTAACCAAACTTCATCAATACACTAATGTAAGTCAGACAAATCCTGCCCTTTACATTTCACACACAACTCGCGCCTGTCATTTATTTCGTGAAGGCGAATTTGGTCGTTTCAGTGTTTTGAATTTCTCTGGAACAAATTCACACTAAGCAATCTCACAGAATGAAGTAGTGAATAACCAGCCTTTAGCTACACCGACCATCACATTCATTCTGAGTCAGATTCATAACCAGTTCAACATTCCTAATTTAGTAGGGTTAACCCGTAGAAATCAACATGACGGCTAGGCTATAGAAGTGTATGAAATGAAACAACTCACCGCTGATCCAACAGTTGGCAATTTCATCCCTCCACTTTCAATAATCACTTGGTTAGCATTATCATCACTATTAGTATGATGTTTTGTGTTAGACTTTGATCGTGTAATACAACTTGCTAACTTCGACTTTGATCTAGTACCACCACCATCACCAATTCTACCCATCTCTCCACGATCAACTCCTACTGACGGATTATCATGGGTACTACCAAAGTTATTTGTTTTCTTAGAATCAACTCTGAACACATACTGGCCAGGTCGACGAAAGCATGTTTCAATAACTCGTCTAGTCTCTCCCGGTTCATTTTCACCACCACCACCACCACCACAACCATCATCATCATCATCACTTTCATCAGTACGAATTAAACGACGACGTTTAACAGTTTTCTTCTTCTTCTTCTTCTTAACAACTGGCTCCATAAATGATGATGTATCGATAATGGGCTTCGCATTCAAACGAACCTGTCTTATCAGATGTGGTCGTCGATTAGACCTACTTTCATGGTCACTGTCAATATTATTCTCATCTCTTTTACCATTACCGGTAGTTGTAGTAGGAGTAGTAGGAGTAGTAGTAGTGGGAGTGACAGTAGCAGCAGCAGATGCATGACTACCAATGTCTAAGTTAGCCAAAGGAGATTTAGACACAAAAATATGAGGTGAACTTGTCAACCGTCTAAAACTTTGTATTGGTGAAAAGACAGGAATATCCCTGTGTAAATCAGTACTGATCGTATTGACTGTCTTTCTTGTTACTAGTTCATTGTTTGCAGTAGGATTCTTTGCAAGAACTTCAGGTAACACCTGTTCTCCAACTTGACATGAGGCTAAAACTGTAATGAGAAGAGTGAAGAAAAAAACAATTAGGCAAACACTGTTCAGTTCAAAGGGGAGAGTAATCACGTTCCAGCTCACCCTACCTAGTGTTGTACATAGACCTAAACAGTGGCTGCGCACTCAAACAAACATACATGCACACATATATACATAAAACCATACATTGCTTGCGTTTTACCCCTCAAAGAAACAAGAAAGCAACAGCATGATCCCCACTGCTTTCCAATATAAGCCACGCCTGCTGCTATCCTCTCACGCTGCTGAAGTTGTCTGGTCTCTCCAACTCAGTCCAAGAAGTCATGGAGCATCTACACACGTTAACCCAGAACAACCATTCTTCATCCCATGGTGTCACGTCATAAACTGACCACCTCTCCACTTCTTTCAACAAGTCCCAAGACAAGGGAACAGTGAGTAGTGTGAAACCACTGGGATGAAATAAGTAACGCGTGTCCAACCTACCGAAGCCGGTGCTTTACACACAATTGCTTACATGCTGCTGTTTCCACTAGACACAAGCTATCCTAAGCAGACCGCTAGTTAAACACAGTTAAACACAGCGGGAGATGCCAACTAAGCCTACAAATAATTGTAGTAACTAATGACACATTCGAGTGCAAAGTTTACACTCATGCCTATCATGTGTGAATATTATAAACAAAGCCCAGCGTCTAATAAAACAAATCACAACTGCAAATCACGTTCACAACCAGATTACTCATGCCCAAGGACAACAAAAACAATCATATATCTTCAACAAGATAAAATTTCTTCTTTCTTAGAAAGTCAAACAAAGCTTACTTGAATCTTTATGAAATGAACACTCTGGTGAAGGAGACTCAGCAATCGGTGATATTTCAACAACCCGTTCGTCCTGCGACTAAAACACCGCCGCCGCCACCACCACCACCATCAACAACAACAACAAAGGAAAGAATAAGAAACTTTGCTTAAACATCTGTCCAATGTTTATTAACTTAACCGTTCACATAAATTAATTAAGACATTTATCCTGGTTTCCTTTTGTCCCTTGGATATAAGTCAGTATATGTCGAGCCACTGCTTACCCAAACTTCAAATATTAGCCAAAGTAGGGTTGGGTTGAAAGATGGCTCAAACTGACTGGACTAAGACGTCGCACCAGTTCATTAAATCTCCGACTGTTGTTTGGAGGTGTGTAGGCAGGTGTACATTGGCCGTTTGGGGTTCCTCAGACGACTGGAGTCAATGGGGTTGGAGTCTTAGTGACATGACTGAGATGCAGATGCATGAATATTTTCACCAATCTTTCTCTACAAATCGTTTCTCCTCCAATACACTTTAGTCTACTTTCATATCAGTCCTTTTCGACCTACTTCTTCTTAGCATGTTACTCTGTTGTAAACTGTCTCAACTTGAACCAATCTATCGATCTCCAAGGTTCCACGTTGACCTTGTCTGTCTGGTTTCCTCTGACTGACTGTCTATCCGTCCTTGTCTCATTAGTCGACTTGCAATCATCCGACAGGCAGCCATGTTGAACATTTCATTTCTGTGTGGTTTTCATCGTAGTTCACTTGTTACACTGTCAAACAGCATGGCATGTGAGTTTGCAAATTATAATCATGATTATTATTATTGAATATAGGACGCCTTGTATTATTTATTATCAAGAAGAAACAACACGGCCGTCTGATTGACTTAAACCGACTTTCGAGGCAGCAAAACGAACACCTTCCATTCTAAACAGATATACAAAGGTGATTTCCACCAAAAACATGATGATGACGGCATAAAAAAGAACCACTACACATATGCTTAGTTGAACTCTCCAACGTCTTAGCTATACGACAAATAACAACAGCTTCAATGAAGACCGTCACTTACATTCTACAACCCCACACGGATGAAGTAAACTTCGAGAAAAATTAAAGTAGTGGAAAATCTCGATAAAAGTGGAAAAAAACTTTGTGACTGTTGTGATATGATCAGTCGAAAGACAAGCAAGTGAATAGTTGTAGAACGCTAACAAACAAACACTCGTATCTTATCCTACAGAAATGTCAAAACCCAATCTTTTCTTCTTTTAATGAACATTACTGGTAAGCTGATGAAGAAGTCGATTGTGAGAAGCAGAAGTCAATAAACAAATCAAAACAAATTCCCTTCCCGCTGGTCATAATCAAAACCAAGTTTCGAGAGGGAGAGAACTGTCTTCTGTTTGCGTGTGATCCACCTACCACCTTCCGATCGTCACCACCACACCGAATATTCATGATAATCTACTCATCTTGGTGACTAGTAGTGGAATTAAGGACGTGCGTTACGTCCTATATGGGACTCCCTCATCAGGTAGGGTGTCTACACCCCCGATGAGTGCTGATGTTTCCTCTGAGACTGAAGCCAACTACCCATAGCTTCAAGCATCAAAACGTTAGCCACACCCTATGAAAGTTATGCCGCTAGTGGTAGTAATAGTAGGAAGAGGAGGAGGAGGAGGAGGAGGAGGAGGAAAACCCCTTTCGGAATTGAAGACTAAAATCAGACTTTAGCACTACAAGCATCTTTCAGATAATCAGTGTCACTTCTACTAGTAATCAATTCTAACAAATATATTGTGCATCAAACAAGTAAACAAAAAAAGCGAACAGAGCATAAAGCCCGATTACACTGCTAGCCACTACCCATCATTAACATTAAAACTGTTGATATCGGCAGTATTGAGGCATTCACACAGGAGCACACATCCCAATTGCGACTGATCAACACCCACCGATAACACTGGAAAAACAGTCATTCCACATCATGGTGAAGCTATCATTGGTAATAACATTCCAAACGCAGTCAGCTAGCTAACCCAGATTTTAAGAGTCATAGACTGTTACCAACTCCTCGCTACGTTAGGTATGATTAGCTTAGTATACAACCGACAGCACAAACTGGCTACCTTGGAGAATTCCAAATCGTGTTTACAGATAACACACTGAATCCCAGCCCAGCCACAGAGAGAATAAAAGTGTATACTGCCACAGACTTCCATACTATAATAAAGCATTTAATCAACGCTTATTCGCATCAACTTCCTCGTCTTCTCTTACAATCGCTACATCGAACAAGTTCTTGAAGTGGTTTGATCTGTGGTCAATATACAAGTAAACGATATGATGCTTCGATGAGATACGATACGACACAATTTACGGTAGAATATCGACTTCCCAATATGATGTTCAGATGACACCAGAAAAAGAGAGACACAATTCGATCGCCTGTATAGTTACTTCAAACGAATAGTGCAGTTATAGCTGATAATTTAGTCGTTTATATACCTTTTAAAACAACTTGGTAAGAGAATATCAAAAAGCGTAGTAGAAGTGTAAAATAAACCGATCAGAATTTTGGATATCATAAACCGAGGTAGAAATAAGTAACATGGCGTGGAGCACAAAAAGGGTGTGAAAGTAAGGTTTAAACCTTACAATGATACATCACATAGGTTAGCCTTTTTGAAGGATCAGACATATCTAACATGAAAGTTATCGAGTTCAACTCACATTTGGTCTCTCAGTATAGTAATTCTTACTAATTTCATCATGAACAGGACTCTTCACTTCATTCAGTGGATTAGCTGCCAAGGTGTATGATGATGACTGGAGAGCAGAAAGATTTGTGTTTTCTTGGCAGACCTCTCGATCTGTCACCAAGTGCAAACGTTTTGTGAAGTCTTTTCTGAATGCAAACAAAGTGGATGGTATAATAATAGAAATTAGTATATTTCTAAGCTTTAACTTACATCATACTAGTAATACAACACGTGAATTAGTGAGAAGAAAGAAGAATACGAAAGGAAACACAACTGCAACTCACTACACAGGCCTCACTTACCAGGCTATGTGACACACTTTGTGAGTAAGGGGTTCATAATACTTTCTTTCCAGTTATCAAAGTTGAAGCCCGTGTGCCGGGATTTCAGGCTTACATCAATGAGACATATATTTACACTAACAAACTCAAACATAACACTACATTATGAGGTAGTCTCACGACTAATATTTTAAAAGACATTTTACCCAACACTGATTTTATAAGGTTACTGCATCGCTCACCACAAGAGATTTCCATTGACTCCTCACTTAATTCTCTACGACTCACAATTGCAAAGAAATCACATGTTCAGTGAAACTGATCACTGCGCGTAACTCCGTTTCATTCGAACAAAATCACGGACAACTTTAAAAGTCAAACACAGACAGACAAAATCAACGTGGAAAATCGTACACAAGTGCACAGGTTCAACTGGTCACAATTCACACCAGTATACAAAGACCAAGTGGATAGAAAGAGACTGATATCAAAATAGACAAAAGTGTATGGGGAGCGAAGAAATTGAAAGGTAAACGTTTGTCAAAGTAGACAACCTTTAGAATAGATCAAACAGTGAATATATTTGCACCATTGTCAACGATTTTCAACTATGCAATCAAGTCTTCAACCATTGATTCCCATCATCTCAAAGAACTCAGCAAGGCAGTCTATACCTCCGTACATGGTCCAGACCAACAGCCAGAGACTTTGTGGGTTGGTGCCACCCCTTGATCTCGCCACTCTGAGCCCTCTTCCAATCTAATCCAACTCCTACCATTGCATATCGAGGTAGGCGGCGGCTCGACATGCCTAACACATGTCTAAGCCACCTGAGTCGTTGAAGGTTCATAACCTCTTCCATTGACTTCCCTGTCCTACCTAGAACCCTTTGACTGACGTCAACACTGCTAACACGATAATTCCACCATGTGCAAACCAATGCTACGAAGATACCTATCGTCAAAAACATCTAACCGCTACATGCCTCCTACTCTTACCGGTCATGTATCACAGGACACAAGAAATCGCAGCACAGCACACTTGTCCTTTCATAGATAGTCGGATATCTCGCAAGTCGGCATCACAAGTTCGCAAATGTCAAACGAGTCTTCTGCATCCAACCTAAGATTTTCTCAGCCACCTATCGATTCGAGCTGATGCAACTCTAAAGGACACCCAAACCAACACTGAAGTAATTAATAAGGTCTCTCGCTGCATGCTGAAAAGGCAATTTCTTCATAAACGAAGAAGCCTAACTGGTTACTTCAGCAGTTACCAGAGAGACCTCTGAAATCACTACAAATGTACCGATATTCAGATAACGAGGCGTGTAGAAAGTCAGAACCACGTGACAGTATCAAAATTAGATTATCCAGTAATTAGTTCAAATATCTGATCCATGTTATATCAGTTTATTTGGTGCCATGGAATTAAAATCATGCTACGGATTAACCTATGTCAGTCTAGTGGGCTGCATCCATACTAAGGTCTCGTCATGCACAAAACCAACAGAGTTAACTCAGTTTCCTATGTAAGTCAAACGAAGAATAATAACAACCTTACAATCTACATAATGTAAATGCAGAATATTCCTGATTCATTATCTCTAACCTGAACATTAAAAACTGGATACGAGATATCCTTCAGTATTCATGTGGAATACAAAAGATTTTTCTTCATTTCATAAGTGTCTTCGTTCAGTGTGACTACGTTGTCCAAGCATTGCAAGTCGACTAGATTACCTTCAACAAAGAATCGGTCACGGTAGAAAGACATCCTTAGGAGAACATTTGCGACACAGGACAACAACTACTACTAACTGTGTGAGCTTAAGTAATAATCTGTTGCTCTGAGTTCATAGGGTTCTCTTACACAGAATTCGCCCTCCCATTACCGCTTGTAACCAATCAGAAAACACCTGAATGGAATGCAGTCAACTGTAATCTACAAACAGAAGAGGATGATCAACTTGATGCACTCATACAACAAAAAAGCAGTGAGGTAGAAATCTTGTCTATACATCTCTCGTCATGGACGAAACCCAACTCATCTACTTTGTGAGTATTCAGTCTGCAACAAGTGTTAATCAGTATCCCCTCTATCATCATCATCATCATCATCAACATAGAACCAGACATTACTGTATAACGGTCCAAGTTGCCACATCTCATATCAGCACATCCAAAAACAAAGCAATAAGATGAAAGATGAAAAAAGACGGAGAAGTCGATCAGAACCAGTAGGAAAGACGAATGAGAAAATACTAAGTTCCATATGCATGCATTGTGCCATCGACATCGATTCTCAGACATGTCGTCTAGAGCCTTCAATCACTAGTCTTTCTTGTCATTTGGACCTCGACACGGAAATCTGCATTCCCCTGCATAGCTCAGAAAAACAGTCAAAGACTTCATGCACTGATGTCACGTTTTAGTCTCGCCACCTCTGACCTCTTTCCAGCCAAAACCTACTTTAGCTAACATTATGTGACGAGGTAGACAGTAACTAAGCATGCACAACAAATTTCTCAGCCACCTCAGTCGACGACGGTTCACAACACCACCAACTGACTTTCCTCTCCCTAAAACTCTGGGACATTGACGTGGTAACACAAAGACATAGGGGCTATGCTACGAAAGCAACGGTGGTTAAACACCAAAAGCCTTCTCATGTCCTTTACCTTTAATGGCAATATTTCACAGCTAAAGAGTAAAATAAAGTCAACTGTAGCACAGCCCACCTGACCCCTGATAGGCGATCAGATATCACGCGGTTGCCACAGATGGCTTAAGCCAGCAAAAGCCAGTCGAGCCTTTTACTTCCGCGCAGAGAATTAGACGGTCACCGACAAAAAGTGTCTGATACGACTTCCCAGACAAATATTGTTCAACGCACTCAACCACTTTAATCTCTATTTTTAGCAGATGCACCGCTGAAGACCAGTCCTGGAACAACAATGTATATTTGAGTGGCAAGAAATGCTCTCAAAACATTCTCAAATTGCCAATCAAGGTGTCCAGAAGACTCTGCGTCTTGTCAGCGTCTTCACCTAACAGGACTGTGTCATCTGCGTACTCTATACCCACCAAGCCTTCTCCTGTCACAACATCAATTTCTGTTAAGTCGGACGACAGGAGGGACACCTCCATAAGTATGTCCATCACAAAGTTGAATAGGAATGAAAACAGTCCACATCCTTGACGGACACCACTCGACGTGAACACCTCACCTGAAAACGCATCATAGGCTCTAATACACCTACAACTGTTCGGGTAAAGAGCCTTCAATAGAGTGAGACATTTACTCAATCCTCTTATCAGTAAGAGATATCTCCATAACACCTCTCACTGATGGAATCAAAAGCCACCTTCAGGTCAAGAAATACACCCAGTATCGGACATCAGTAAATGTGCCTGTCTTCCAGAACCTGTCAGAGAGTGAATATCTGGTCACTACACCAACACCCAGTTCTGAAGCCTATCTGGTTTCCTCCGGTTTGCTGTTCCCCACTTCCACTAAGACGTCTCATGATCACAGAACTTAGAATATTAGATACTTTGTTCGTCAGGCTGATTTCCACGTGGTTATCAAAAGAGGATTTCTCTACTCTTCTAGAGACTGGAACAATCAGTGATTGGGACCATACACTAGTTAGTGCTTCAGTCAAACTGAACTGTAGTATGCCACCACTATCCTCAAACACTTCCGAAACTAGTTCGTCCGACCCTGCTGCTCTTCCTCATTTCAGGTTACCTACAGCTTTATGCAGGTGTTGGGCATCCTATCTGAATGTTTCGGATAGCATACAAGTGGACAGCGGGCAACCCGATACTAGCAATCTATCGCAATCATAACTTCTACCTTCTCTCCTAACTGAACAATAGAAATTTGAGAACAACTCTATGAGAATACACGTAAAACAAGACTCTATTCAACCTGAAAATCAGTATTTGGTTATATGGATAACTGGAAGTCACCTACGAATAAATACCCCTCAAACCATTTCATCACTCTCTTACAGCAACCTTATTACAACTCAAATTTCAACGCCCAGTACCACCTTCATACGCAGCATCTATATCATCTTACGATGAGTAGCTGGACAGTTACACAAAGCTTCAAATATCCTCTGTTGTCTTTCCGAACACACTCTTCAACACAATCTCCTGTGCGAATTAAACGTTTTACAAGCATTCATGAACAGAAAAGTGGAGCTTGTTAACTCACTAAGCATATGATTTCCAATTCCAAAAGACACCAGACACACTGGTCAACAAAGTCAAGAAAATTTCAATGCTACTACGATGGAAACTTAGTCATCTACCACTGATCCTTCTGAAAGATGCTAGATATGAGGAGTGCAAGAAAGCAACAGTTACTTTTTAGGAAAACACATGACCTCTGGTAAATATCAACCTACACAGAACTGTTTTCCGTAAGTTGCAATCAACGTCTCTAGTGCCAAACAGCCCGGTAAAGAATTCATATGGAATTCCACAATATCTCAAAATGTGTGTACGACTTCACTAACAATACACTACTGTTGCCTAAGTTGTAATCTCAATCTGTCGCTACTGGTACAAGAAACGTGGGATACATTTTTCAGGATCAAACGTTTCTCTCCCTCGCATCAAAAAACAACAAGAGAGTGTAACAATATTCGGGATAACTCACATCCTCTTATATTCAAAGAAGTATCAAAGTTCAGACTTAACTTCAAAAAAAGGATGATCTGAACAGATTAATGTTAGGGAAGATAAATCCAATTGCCAAATCACAATGACTGACTGACGAAATCAATGTAGAACCTTGCACACACGGGCATCTGCTCAAGTTGCTACACTTCACAGAAGTACACAAAGAACAAATGGATAGAAAATGAGTGATGTCAAAGTAGATAAAGTGGTATGAGAGAATAAACAATCTGAAGACAAAGATTAGTGCAAATATTCAAGCTTTACAAGAAATCAAGGAGTGAATACATCTGCGCCATTGTCACCGATTTCCAACCATGTCACCTAGTGTCCTCAGTCATTGATTCCTTTCGTCTTGGGCACCCCAACCAGACAGTCTACATCTCCTCACGTGGCTCAAGCCGCCAACACTCGGGGACTTCATCGACTGGTGCCACGTATTGGTCTGGCTACCCTTAACCACTCTCCAACATAATCCAACTTACCCTAGCATACCACATAGACGTAGGCGGTGACCCAACATGAACAGTACATGTCCAAGCCATTTCAGTCGACTAACCTTCACAACCTCATATAAGTCAACTCTCCGATATTTTATAGCCAGATGGTCTAGAATTTTTGAAACACAACGCTGTAGGATCACCTAACTCTATCATTGATTAACTCTCCAACCGGTAATTTCTTGACCTAACGGCGTGAAAATACGGTCAATAGGATCATCTACACATTTAATGGAATGTCACTTCATCTATTGAGACACGAACGGTCAAGTAACACCATACCCCTTCACTACAATATATATGACTTAAGGACTCGGTAAATAAGAACTTGAACTAGGCAAATAAACTGCGTTCTCCTCTTTAATCCCTACACAATTCTAACAAAGGCATTCACTTCTCATTTCATGTGATACATGTACACACGGAAACGGTACCCTCAAAGAAGAAGGAGAAGAAAATTAAGCACAACTATTACATACCAAACAGTTTTTCATTATTCAACAAATAAATACACACTCCACTTTCATAAAAGAAGAGAACAAGTATACTTACCGAGAAAGCAAATCAACGTCCACTGTCGTATCTCCCAATACACTTGGAACTTGCTGTGAAATTTGACCATCAGATGAATCAGTTGCATCCAACAGAGATAGTGATTCTTTCACAGAGTTCGTTATTGACATACCCATTTCAATGTGTGAACATAACGATTCATATAAACTTAGAATGAAACCCTAAAATGCAACACAATTCTATACAACTTTCATCAGTATTACCTTGACTTTCTCTCTAGTTTGTTCATACACATGAAGACGATTCAATTCCATACGATATTTCAATAATTCAATATTTGCTTGATGTGCAGCTGCCCTTTGACTACTTAACTCAATTTGTAATTCAGAAACCTTTTTTGCTAATGATGCATTATTGTTACGAAGAGAACTCGCTGAACTTTTTGACTGGTTCACTGAAACAAAAACACAATTAAACAGTTCACAACCAATCACCATAAGCAGATAGACAATATAGCCAAGTAACAGAATGGTTTATCAATGCAAGTTGAAACACCTCACATTAACACACACGTTGAAGGGCGGAAGTGTCAACAAATAACAACGAGTTACGTCTACTGTTTGGGGTCTGATAATACCACCTGCTCGCCTAAATCTCAACAGACGAAGCGGAGTTGGATCTCGTGACCCACTAGGTGAAAGCAAACCAACTCAATTAATGAGGCAAAGTGCCACGAGAGACAAAAACATCAACAGTTGTAGAAGTAACACTAAACAATAAGAATATGGGTGTATGCAAATACCAGGTTGCAATAAAGATTAGGAACAGATGCATCTGCGCTTCTGAAGTCAATTTTATACAATACCTCCAACACTACTGCATCTCCCACCACAATTTCCGCCATTCTAGTTTGCCATGACCATAAAAGCCTGTACTGCCTTACACGACCAGCATAAAATATCTCTTATTCAACACACCCCTAAACAGGTTTCAAGCCTAAATGATTCTCCAGTAGATACCACTCCTAAGAGCCAGTTAGTTGTTACATGATTATGGAACCTATCATTTCATAGACCAAGTTGACTGAACTAATTTCTCTATGGTTAAAAACTAAAGTCAAAAGGCACTCAACAACTATTTGCACGTTCATGGAGTAGACGATCAGCCATATCTGTTGTGACGTCTTCTGGTAACACTACTTTTGATAACCACACCTTCGTGGGTAGAGTGAGGTTACAGTTACACTGATAAAATAGTAGTGAAATTCAGCATGAGGATTAGAATAATGTATGGATACATTTGCATCACTGAAATCGATTCTCCCTCATATCACCTAGAGTCTTCAACCACTAATTTCGGTTGTCATGTGGACCACAATTAGGAAGCTTACATTTGGCTACACGGCTCAGACCAATATTCAAAACAGATAATAAATTAATGTCGTATTTTAGCCTCTCCACCTCCAACCCCTTTCCGGTCAAAACCTACCTTAATTAAGATCATGAAACGGGGTAGACGGTTACAAGGTATCTGTAACACATGTCTCAGCCATCCAAGTCGACGAAAGTTCACAACTTCATCGATTGACTCTTCGTTTCTATCTAAAACTCTACACCCGACTTCTACGTTATTGACCTGGTGGTTCCACGACACACGCCAGATGCTTTCGAGACAGCAGTGATCGGAAACATGAGGCCTCCTGAGGAATATCCCACGGCCTATTAGTAATGTTGCCGGTTCTATCGTTATATATACAAAATATCAGAATCATATACAACCCGTGGACATTAGTCGGAGATACTTTATATAAAATAAGTTCTAACACAACTACCCTTTGTTATGGAACTGCTTAGGAAAAACCTCTTCACACATAAACACAAAAAGTGTAAGTTTCCCGATAACACTTTTTCAGACACTAAAAACAACAGTGATGGATGCCACTCAAATATAGGTGAGTGATTTAAAGTATTTTACAGGAAATTTAGACGTAACGAAAAGGATCCGAAAACATGTCACAAAGAAATTTATCACTGCAACTATTTGTCTCAGATCCATGTCTTGGCCATTGAGTACAGTACTCAAGGAAACAGTCCAACTAGTCTCCGTCAGTCAGTCAATATTACTATGGGTTTATACTCTTAGTACTGAATGATGATCCAATACTGTTGTGGAGTGATCAAACATAGTTCAAGAAAGAATGCCGTTGCTCAAACACTTGAATTTTAACCAATGAGTGGTGGGATGGAACACTAACCCATTTACACGTGTAATCGCCCAACCAAACAACGTATGGCTCATCGCATGGTGTGCGGACCTATACACAGCTAACTTACCCCATCGTTATTTCACAATCATTTCTAATGCCACACTTACATTTTTAAAAATTCCACACACAAAAAGGTACGATTATTTAATAACCTTTCGCGTATCAATGAAATCGGTTTCAAAATTCCTAACACTAGTAGTTAAAATTGAAAACAAAAAGAAGTCAATCATATGAAATCCTCTAATACAAGCTTTCACACAACTCCACTACTACCAAATTCCCATATCCAAAGGAAAGCTTCCATAGAAGCGTTGTATAGCAGTATGTGTCAACTGGATACTTCATTACACTGGAATCCAAGTACCTCAACTTTCTTCCACAGATTTCATACTTTCTGACTACGACATCCCGTACTCATTGATGTATGACGATAAACCCTGATAACTTACAATCATTACGGTGTGCACGGGTTTTATATTCTTGTTCTTGACAAAACTAAGTAATTACTCCACTGTATAACATAATTGTGGTCAAACTAGTCACCAAACCAACATCAGCAGATGTGAAAGTGGAATAATTTACCATCTGAAATACCCCCATTAAATATAGTTCACATATGAATATCGACTGAAGACTGGTATATGGATACATATACCGTCAAACTGCTGGGACCATACAATTTTACCATCCTCAGACGACTATCAAATGACTTAGAAGTGGCCAATCACGTTGAAGGTGACTGTATAGTCTTCCCAAGAAGTCTCAAATTACTGAAACGCCTATGCGGAATCCCAATGACAATTTCAACGCTGGCGCAGAAAACAGAACCTACTCTCAATTGGTTTGTTGCTCCATGACCAAATTCTTAAGTATTGTACTTTGAAATCAATAGATCTAATATACAACTTCATGAGGCTGATGTTTGTGTCTAATTCTTAACTTTTAATTCCTTAATCTCTCTAAAAGGTTTCATACAAATAATTTAGAGGTAATAAGGCACCACTAGAAGGATTGTACACCATATTACAGTTCAGGTTTAATGTTGTGCAGCAACATCCATGAAAAACTCCGTTGTGTGTACTATTTTGGATAGAAGGAAACAGTCAAAAGCCTACATGAGCTCTTAATCATCTCTAGAAAGCTATATCCACTTTATTTTCCCTTCACTCCCATAGTAAAAGTTGACATTTTCTTAAACCGTCTCTCTATGGCATATTCAAGGTTATTTCGAAGTTGCTCAAGGATTGCGAAACTTTATAATTACTGCAGTAGATTGAAATCTATTTTACTGAAACTATGGGGAAGAATGTAACTCAGCAACCACGTGCAGCTTTATCAACTAGACAGTAAGACAGCCAAAGTCCGGGGTCTAGTGATAAGATCTGGAAGTTTACACCTTGGTAGGTGAGGCAGCTAACTCGTGACCTAGTCTTACACGTCGGCTTAATACACAGACGAACTACAATTCCATATTACTGACTGCAATATGTTTCGATTAAGGCAACGAAACACCACACTTGTACTGCAACGGAAGCACATACAACAACCATTACCAGATCACTAGTCTGAATGACTCATGCTAAACCACAGACATTTAGATGGGTATGTTGAAAACTAGTCACAAAAAATTAGAATGAACAAGTGGAATATTAGTGTCGCAACAAATGTTTGCTCTAAAAACTAACTGACGAGTCACTACAATTCCGCTTGACGACCGGATCCATTTCACTCCCCTTTTCTTTCAAGTCAGAAGAAACACCAGTTTAGGAATATTACACAACCACCTAGTCATGTTTCAGCATGATTCCTTATCAGCAGCTACTTGTTATAATAAAGTATAAATAAAGAATTATTACATCCTCAGGAAACTCGTGAATGGTCTTGCAACAACCAATCAGACGTAAGTGGATTATTCGCACAGTCTTGGTGTTTGAAGGCTTCTAAATGCAATGCATATTGCGAGTGAAATTATATTTAGAATTTATACGATTTCCAAGTCTTTAATCGTCAGAATTCAATATTCTCCAGGGACCTAACAGATACAATCACAAATACTTGCAAAGACTTACCAAATGAAGTTGAGTAACTAAAACTGGACATTACGGTCAAGAAGTAATGTCCCGATTGAAATTATTTAGCCTAAGGCATTTGCGCTGAAATGAGAACCACTACCTAAAAAACCTCCACTTAACAAGTATATAGGGAACCATATCCTCCATGTGTTCAGTTTCCGAATTTAACTCTCTCAAATTTAGTCAGGATTTGATGTAGTGCGCACAATAGTGTTAAGTTGTAGTCTAGTGAAAGTTGTTCATTCCTCATTTCAACTTCAGGATAACACGAACACTTGGAGAAACAAACAATTGGTAAACAGAACATAACGCTCACACACATACTTTAATTCGTCGCAATTTCCCTAAGTGTGTCTTTTGATGCTATCGACAAAATCTGTTGGCAGCATACCTATATGATCAACCACTACAAATTACTCAAGGAAAGAAGATTTCATACTTTCAGAGTGCCAACAGTTCCCCATGTCGTGACCAGTTTTGGGTGGTATCTTCACAGCATGCTGCTTGCTGATATTTCTCAAGATAGATTCTTAGACGACGGAGTACCTACTTTATTGCTTTTTCATAGAAAAAAGAACATTACCGGTTTACATAAAAGTGATTACAAAACAAGTAAAGCAAACAACGAGGTACCTGACTTCTGAAGAATTCTTCTCGATGTATTCAATAATGCTCTACTTCTCATTAAGTCGATACTGTCATTAAGTCTTGGCTTTTTCGATTTCCGATAACTGATGCAGATTTGTGGGCCACAACTCATTTTTGGGCTCAACAACCTGCTGGTAGTTGACTTTTGTGCAGCCTGATGTGGTGGGTGAACAGAAGAGTGCAGATGAGTTTGGGCAATGATAGTTCACTCAGGTAGCACGAGAATCTTCAGCGGCGAAGAGAAATGCATGAGCCGACGATTCAACAAAAGCTACATGCACACTAATATTTACTAGTAGCAGTAGACGGGGGAGCTTTATCAACAGATGCAGAGTAGGAAGAGCAGTCTGAAAAATGAAGTTACGCAAAGCTGAGAACTACGTTACATGGAGTGCGAATCACCGTCCACTATCCTGACTTCAAATATCCAATATTCAACTTCGCGCGAGTGCCAACTTCAAGCAAACTCTGGTGACAGGTAACCTTCAGGATTACCAATCGGCTTGAAGATACTGGGGCGAAAGTCATTCAACATCCAACATCTAACATTAATAATGCGATCGTAGAAAACTTATAGATTTTGATCTTGTATGTCTAGTACTTAGGACTTGGTTCGTGATACTTGCTTTGCTCCTGCAATGGACAGGGAAATCTTTTCTGCTCTCTTGCTCCGTCGAAGTGCATGCTTTATGGGTTAGTAAATTACAATTCGTAGAGTGATTAGGGAGCTACGAGTTACTGAGAAGATTAGGGACCTTCTGTGACTCCTTTCTGTGCGGGTGCTTGAATAGGAATAGTAAGATAACGAGAAAAAGTGTGTGAGAATTACCCCAAGGATAAAAGTAGGTAGCATGGGTCTGGTTGCTAGAAAATTGCTACTAGCAAATAGTGTATGTGCACCAAAAAAAGAGGTAGCAAGTGGTAAGCGGAAGGGAAGTGGTGGTGAGCTATTGGGGTTAGTAACTCTCTGAGTACGACCGTGGTAGACCATGTGGAATGACATGACTGTTTGACCGTCTTTTGAATGAGTCAATCAAGGGGTCCATGACTAAATCCTGCAGCAGGGCATTCCATAAAGCACATACTTCTAAAGAGAAAAGTTTAGGCTCGAGCCTGGCACTAGCTCTCTGGTGTACCATCCTGGTGGAGTTTCCTCATTACGACCACCGTGTTGCAGACAAGGTTGGTTTGTTTGAGTGATTCGCCTGATGGATGATCTTGTAGACCATAGTAAGGTCACCGTTCTTTCTGTGATGGCCCAAGGTGAACAGATTCGACTGTTCCGGCTTTTCAGAGTATGCCTTCCCCTATTCCTACAACTGGTTTGTTGTGAACCTTTTTATTTTTTCAAGGAGATTAAAGTCTCTCTTGAGTATTGAGGGTGCCACCGTATCGAAAACCTCTGGGTGAAGCCTCAAGTAGTATTTGAAAACTGTCAGAGACAGTTCAGGGACGGGAGCGCCAAGTTTTTCACGGAGAAAGTGTAGGGTGATGTCCGCTCTGATTGCCACGTCTTTGTAGCTGGAGCTGGTGTTCAGGGTGTCAGAGAAGTTGAGCTGCGGATATTTTTCCGCGGATACTCTGGTGATACCACGGTTGCTCAAAATATATTGGATGTCAGCCGTCCATGCCTATTAGATACTGATGTGCATTACTTTATTCCTTTTCAGGTTGAAACTCCGGTCGTTTTACTGCTCCCGGGGTTCGGCTTGCTGAAGGTGATTTTGTAGTGCTCTTCCGTCTGCCTCTTCGTTTACTACCATCCAGATTGTAATGTCACCGGCCTAATGGAGTATGAATGGGATGGAGGAACGCTCCTCGGGATAACCTTGATGTCGATGGTCTCCATCCAAATAGTGTTCTGTTTGTCTCGGTGTGGAACTGAGCCTTCTTAATACTCTTTGAACCAAGAGAGTGGGGGCTCAATTATGCCGGCTGACATGATTGTGTGAAGCGGGGCTGTCGGCGGAACGCTGTCAAATGCTCTAGCTAGGTCGAAAAAAGCAAAATTTACTGGATTTCTGCTGTCCCAGAGAAATGTATGGTCGTACGAGGCAGTTAACAAGCCAAGGATACATGGACGATCGCTCCAAGAGCCACGCTGAGCAGTATGGACAGTGATTTCCCTGTTAAAGAATTCTCAGATAGCGTTGGCTATCAGGTCATTTAATACCTTGGACCGCTTAGGGAGTAGGGCGACCGGTTTACAGCCGCCGGAGCTTTTTCCGTCTCCTCCCACATATATGGTTGAAAAAACTGCGCACTTTTATTCTCTAGGTAGTTTGCATGACTCTAATTACAACTCAAAGATGCTGAAGATTGATCTTGGGACAATTTTGGGAATTACTGGTCCCAGGTTATCGCAGCCACATAACTTTACTGGATGCTGCTCCAACGCTTCTGCTGCTTCTTGGTCTGAAGTAGCCTCTCTGCCCTACGCATTAGTCAAGAGGTTCTCACTGACGGTAGATGTGTTACCTCTGGCTCGCTGTGACTGATGGCCCCAATGATTATTTCGTTCACTTGTTTTCGGTATTCATCTACTGTGACAGGAGTCCATCGTTCAGGCCATGATGTGTTCATGAGGTAATCTCTCATGGCCCAATAGCTGACCTTACAATAGGAAGGGAAGGTGATGGGGGTCTCCGATTGCACAGCCTCCTTGGTAATCATGGAGAAAGCTTTTCCTGCATTATCACCGACCCTCACTGAGAAGGTCAACTCCCAGCTGAAGAATCTGGTATGCCTCCCTTTCGTCTCGAGGAAGGTGGAATGAGCGTTTAAGTCATCGGCTATGATTACATGGTCATAATCTGTAGAAGAATTCGCCTAGGTTGCCTTGGTGACTATTTCTTGTGTGCAGGGGGCCGGTGAGGGAGCGATACATGCACCCGAGCAGGTTGTTGATGCAATCAAGGGTGGAGTAGCACCATAAAGATTAGAGGAGCTGGATTAGAGGCGTGTCGCTGATCACTCTGGCCTATAAATGACAGCTAACGTAGACAGCCACCTTCACCCTACCTCCCGCCCTGAGCGCACTATCCCTATGGAAGAGTTCCGTACAGGTGACATGCAAATCTGTTGGAAATGTCCGATGAGAGCCAGGTTCGGTGACAAGTATGTCAGAGTGCAGTTGATCGCCGAGTGTCCTCACCCCTCCTTTTCCTCTGAATAATAATATATTTTATACAACGTAAGCCACATGAAGAAAAACTAGTTTACAAGTATGATCGCTCTGGCAGTATGAATTCATCGTTGTGTGCGGTAATAAGCAATACATTAAAAATCATTTTTGGCGGGTAAGAGGTAATTAAAAAGAAAGAACGTAAATGTCCCACAGAATATTCTTGAACGTAAGGCTTCAGAAATAACATCCTCTTATCGGGCTTACAGCATGACCTTATCAAATGCTGAATAAAAATAATAGTTTATCTTCGCAAAGACAGGCACTTGCAGGCCTACAGACAACATTATGTAATTATGCCATTTAAATTCCGATGCTGGCACGGCAATGAGGATTCTGAAACTATTAACTTAGTGTGCTAGCAAAGAGAAATGAGTTAAGTTGTACACAAAATATCAAGTTCCAGCGATCGAACGATTTGACAAAAGTTCATGAAAACATCTCCGTGAAATCTGGAAAATGGAGAAGTCCTCAGTCATATATATGCTATGTACCGTCACATTCGTGATGTTTAGAAGTTTGGGTGGGCGTGGTAGAACCTTTACGCCGACATTAAATATAGTTAGGTTACTTGAAAAATAATGATTGAACCTCATAACTGACTGCCATGAGCTAATCGGAGCACAGTTTACCTGGTCACTCCACCAGTGTTCAATGCAAGGCGGGTGGCTCTGATTTGCCTTTCAAAAGGTGATGTCGGTCCCGTTCCACGCTAACCAAACACTGATGTCGAATTTGGCTGCCACTGGAAAGAAGGCTGTGTAGTAGTGACGGCATAAGATATACAGAAACTAAGAAGTTCCAAATAACATGGCGTGCATTCAGTAGCTAGTTCTATAAGTGAGACAGCTGCAGGAAAACACAAGACGAAGGCGACACTTGAGTGGAGACGCATAAAATACGGTACTAGAAATCGGACTTTTTCTCCTTTTCCTGGTCGATATACCTTAAATACTAAAGTATGGAAAATTTGTTGATACATTGCATAAAGCTATGTTTATCTCACTATAACGCTGGTTAATGCCAGGTGGTGCAGCTTCATGCTAGGGCAAGTGAGACAAGTGAAATAAAGTAAGCGGCTTATAAAACCACTAGAATTTCTTGAGCCTTCTGAATATGTTATCATACAGAAGTATTACAGTTGTTGATCAATGGAGACTTGAGGGCATCGGCTGAACAAGACCGGTTACCAAGCTGTAGAACACAGTTAACCTGAGCCTATGTGCATATGTACACGATAAATACTTAGATCACTGGCTGGCAAGGAAAGCAGAGATACGAGGAAACAGAGACACCTTTCGATTAGTGATAGTCTTCGGGTAGTTGGAGCTTCTTTAGAGAAAACAAATAAACCTGGATATTTAATAATTCGATAACGGTTCAGGCTTTCCCATGGTCAAGAGTAAGAACGATAGAAAGCCTCTGAATACATTTTCATGGACTTCAGTGGGGTTTTTCATGAGATGCTTCACTTCAGTCTGCTTATGAGGTCGGAAAGTTTCTGGACCACAAGCAGTTCACTTGTGCTGGTCGAACAGTCCCTCGATGGTAGCAGATAAAGAGCAAGGACCGAATTCAAGCCCTCTTTCTGGAAGTTGGTGAGAAGTGATGCGCAAAGAGGCACAGCCTTCGGTACACTGATATTTCTTCAACGCCTGAATGAGCTGCTGAGCATCATGAAATCTTTCATAGCTTACCACACGGATGTTACGAAAATCTGGGGGAATTGGAGGCTGACGATCATATGTGCGCCCTTTTGACAGGCATAAGCAATAAGTTAAACTGGTCTGATAAATGACCGACGTCTAGCGTTACATGTGAGCGGTTGACTGTGGTCAATGAAGATGTAGATGGTCACGTTTACGATATTGATTGGGTCCCTCTTATCTCACCACTTACCCACGACAACCTATAAGCTGTGGCAAGTT